CGCTTCCGAACACCAGCATTCCTATGCCTCTTTCGCATCGCGCATCATCGCCTTGCCTGCAAACTCAACATCATCTGCATTTTCTCCCACAAGCTGTATAGTATCACTAACCTCCATCGGGATACGGGCAACAATTGCTCGCGCCTGCACAACTGAGGCATCCAAACGTCCGCTGAGGCCATGCCCACTGCATAAAATTATCAATTTCATCTGAACATTGCTATAGGTGTTGGGTTCCGCGAAACAGGTGAGAGATCGCCGGTCGACCCATGGATAACCATTGCCATCCATCAGCTACAGCTTGAGCCATGATGTCGGGCTTCTCCTGGTAACTGACGCCAACCCACCTTGGATGCAGATTGCGACCAAAACCACCTGCCTGCAATACATCGCATCCTGTAGCATGTACCACTTCAATCGCAGCCGCGACTGCAATCGCCCCCACAATCGGGATAGAAGCGCCCATGCCACTGCTACATCACTTTGCTCATCAAACGCCATGTCCAAACATGTATTCGTCAGAACTTGGCGTGCACTCCATGTCGGCCCCTCTCCCAGCGGCCCAACAATTCTCTCAACTGGTAGAGCTGGGGTTACCGTGTAGATGAAGTGCCTGATCTTCTGGAGCAGAACGGGCCTGCACGGGCGCCGACTCCATAGCATATCAGCCTCGACCCCTTGGAACCCTCGCAATGCAGCATCATTCGAAGCAAAGTAATCAATCGTAGAAGTTCCCGTTCCACCACGACGCGCGACCTGCTTGGGCACTGCCATCGTGATATTGGCCAAACGTAGGGAACCTGAGCCTTCAAGTTCTTGAACAGACATGTTCCAATCAGCACCGGCAATGATCGGAGCCTGTACCTGATCAAAAATAAGACCCATCCTTGAGAGCATTTCACTGTTGACCCCTGGCGAACCGATGGGGCCCTTGAGATTCGCATTGATTACGTGCAACGACGGCCAGCCAGGCAAGTGGATTCGCACGTGCTGGCATCGATGAAGGAAGACGATGTGATCATGTATCTCGGGAGTTCTGAGCCCGAGATCGCTGCGGACCAGAACGGCGACGCCAGCAGAACATGCATTGCAGACCGTGCTGACTCGACGAGGGGGACTGGGAATTGCCATCCTTTTCCGCCCACGACACTGTGTCCACGAGTAGAACGCTTCCAGGTCGCCGTCGCAAAACCTTGTTTTCTGCAGCAGAAGAACATGCGCTGAGGATTTCTGGGTCTTCTCCTTCACAGTCTGCTTGCCGCCATTGCCATTGAAACACTCAAAGACAGAGTGACCAACGGCCTGAGCAGGAGGGGGCAACTTCGTCGTTCCCTGGGCAATCGGCAAACCAGAGACCCGAATGGGTGCGTAACCTTGCTCCACGAGATCATTCGTCCATCGTGCAGGAGGGCCATCAGGAACGTCGCTGTTTCTTGGCAAGCTCTCTGAGGGCCCCTTGAAACTTTGAGAAGTCATTGTTCTTTTCATGTTCGAACAAATATTTAAGCTCTTCCTCGGACAGCTCATCACATGCTCTCTTGGCGGCGGGGTCGGATGCGCGAGCGCCATAATATGCATCAGATACTTCAGCAGCAGCAGCAGCAGGAACAGGACCACCTGTCGGCTGAGGGACCGTGCCCGACTTGATCATTGACACGAAAACCTCCTTGAGCGATGTCCACATGTCGGAGGCCAGAAACTTCTTGAGCTCATCCGTCTGAACATCATCAGTGGACATGGAGATGTCGAACTCGGTCTCCATGGGAGTGTCCTCGCTCTTGTTGGCAGCGATCGCGGCAGCCGACTGCTTGTGCTCCGCCTCGAGCGCAGTGACCTCTGCCCGCTTCGCTGCCAGCTGTGTCCTGCGCGCCTCGATCGACTCCTGGAGTTCTTTGAATTGCTTTTCCTTCTCATCAAACTCTTTCTGAAGGCGGTCACGTTGAATCTTGGATTTCTGCCTTTCCTTGATCTCACGCACTTTTGAATAGTAGCCTTCCTGACTGGATCCGCATCATCGTTGCCAGGGAGGTTCTTGAGCATTGTCTCGCTAGTCGCCAGCTGCACCGCCAGCTTTTCACGCTTGGTTTTGTCATCATATTCGGATATCGTTTTCGTGTTGGCCGCTGCCGCCGGCGTAGAGGAGCTCCACGGTGGCGGCTTGGCTGGCGGAGTGCTTCCTGCTGAAGGCGAACTGCCCAAACCACTCGAAAACGTGAGGGTCCGCAGCAACTTCTCCAACTCTGCCAACTTCCTGGGAGTCGGATCATTCTTGTCATTCGATACATTATTGTTGCCCTTGTGCGGGGGGGTCTCACCGTTGACGATCGCGTCGTGATGGCCCCAGGCGAGCTTCCTGATTCGCATCGGGGCCTCATTGCCACACTGACAGCGGATCCGCGATGCCCAGTTCGCTGAGGCAGCGCACCGTCCGCATCCCCATGTTGGCCGCCTCGGCCCACGGAGCACCGCAGGAGAAGGCGGGGAAGGCGCCATGGCGGCGGCGCCTTGGTCGTTGGTTCGTCCTCTGCCTCCAGGAGGAGGCGCAATAATCGTGATCAAGCCACAAGGTTCGCTGCAGCGTCGCCGTTCTGAATCCAGCTGCAGCAAGCGCAAACCTGCGCCAGAACGGCTAAGGAGGAGGAGGAGGAGGAGGAGGAGGAGGAGGAGGAGGAAGAGGAGGAGGAGGAGGAGGAGGACGAGGAGGACGAGGAGGTCCGAGGTCGATCCCCTCCAGGAGCTCGAGGGGTTCATGGCCCAGTGGGGCCCATGGAGGCTTCACCGAGCGGCACCACGACTGGAGACCAGAGACGGCGCCTACATCGTTCCGCGGGCACGGCCCTACGCGGGGCTAGGCGCTGGCACCGCTGATTAGCAATAAGAGGACCCCTAACCCATTGGGAGGGGACCGAAGTTAGGAGGGCCGAAAACATTAGGGATAGGGGGTCGTTTCTGCAGATGGTTCGAACCAATTCGCCCAAGTCGGTTACCCCTAATGCAAAGACGGGGACCTCAGTGAGGCTACGTCTTCGTGTCATTAGGGCTAGGGGTTCCTTTATCCTGGATGAACCGTGGCGCCAGCATCCGTCGAAAAGTGGAAGACATGTCACAGCTGACTCAATCGAGACCCCGTGATTGTGCCGCAGTCGGTCGTCCTTTGCGAGGCGCGATTTCTACTATGTGTCCATAACTCTTGGTCCGATGCTGCTGACTTCCGATCTGAGGCGCAGAAGAACATCCTGCAGCCTCGGGAACATTCCTCCTAACGCCCTAACGCGACACCGGTGCCCCGAGAACAGTCGGAAACATGTAAATCCTGTTGCGGCCGAGCCACATAAATCGATCGCTTTTGGAGGAGTCGCTGGAGGCACAAAAAGTGTGGGGCCACGCAGGAGCCCGAAAAACTCAATCACCCGATTACTCTTACAGTCAAAATCGCCCACCATTGAAAGAAAACCCCACCGCTCCCATAAATTTTGAATTGCCAGACTCCCTGCCGGGGGGACCCCATGAGGTCATCCCCCTCTTTAGTTTCATACCATCAGGGTCCATGGATTGAGCATGGTTCGGAACGTTTCGCCCGAGACGTCCTCCGAACTTGCCCGGTTTGGCCCCTGCTTTGGCCTGGTTTCGCCTGGCCTGGTGTGGTTGAGCCAGGCGCCCCGCTGAAGACATCCTCAGAAATGGCCTGATTTGGCCCCTGATTCCGCATGGCTTGGGGCTGCTTCGCATGAGACGTCCTCGCACATTGCCTGGTTTGGCTTGGTTTGGGCGCGGTTTCGCCTGCGGCGCACGCCTTCACAGTTTGTGTTGTTTGGATTGGTTCCAGTGCGGTTTCGCCCGAAGTGTGCCCACGATTTCCCTGGCTGCGGTGCAACCCGATATCGTTGCAAGCTGTGCGGAGCAAATCCAGATCGTCGCGAGCTGCGCGGTGCAAGCTAGATGGATCAAACCGGCGTCGTCGCAAGCTATACAGAGCAATCTACGTGGCCAAAAACACATGGTGGAAGCTGTGTGGTGCATGCTACCGGACAGAAGCCCACATATTCTCGCGGCGATGGCCTGGTCTGAAGCGTTGCGAGAAAACTCCCCCGATCCTGTAGCACCCCTGGGATGCGCACGTCCGGACCGAACACGTTGTACAAATATCACAGCAGCACGCTGCCTCCCAAGCGGTGGGGCCCAGCACAGAAAGCGCCCGCCGCCGAGCATCTACACCATGAGAGCTCAGAGCGCGCGCGTCGCCCCTGGGGAGACGACGCACGCATGATTACACGGTCAGCCCGCATAGCAAGGATGCGCGGTAAGGATGCAAGGGCCTCGAAGGGCCATCTTCACGATTCTCGAAGGTTCAATACCTAAGGGCGCAGGGCAAAGTGTGAGGATGCAGAGGTAACCTTGGAAACGTTGCCCATCCTTACTGTGCGGGTCGACTGTAGTAGAAGAACCTGTGTTTGAGTGACGCTGGCAATACTCTGCGCAGCCAGTACGAGGCGCCCAACGAGGCGCCCGACGCCCCGAACAAGCCCTGGACGCTCCCGACGCCCAGAAGAGGCCCCAGACGCGGCGCCGGACGCGCCTCAATGGCCTCCGACGGCGGCATCTTTTCTCACGCCGTGGCCCCCTGCCTGGAGTTCTGGACCCCTTCCTGGCTGGAGGCCTCCTAGATGGAACCCGAGTAGATGGGGTCGGAAGATCGCGCTGCATCGCCGATACATCGGCGATGCGTCGGCGCCGTTGGCGTGGAGAAAACCGGGCTCCACATCGAGCCGCATCACCGATGCATCCGGCGATGCGGAGCGCTCCTCCGACCCATCTACTCCGACCCCATCTAGGATCTGGGATCCAGGAGGCCCAGATGGACGGCCCTGGGACCCGGTGAGGGGCCCCGGAGGCCGACGATGGCCAGCAGCCTCCCGTCGACTTTTGTTCTCACAGCGAGGGAACCAATGTGGCGGGGAGCCCGCCCCTCGCTCGCTGCAGGGGGCCGCGCCCCTGGCCGCCTGTATGTGCACGATGTCCTTCTGGAAGTCGCGCGCCAACCTCTGCACAGACTTGGGCCACGTGGCGGACCACAGGAGCGTCTGCCTGCCCCCCCCCCCCCCCCAGGGGCACCCCCGCGGCCGCGCGCGGGGCCTGGCGCGCTCTACAGCGAACGAGCGCGCAAGACTCGGACCACCAGTCTGAGCCCAGATCTCCTACGATGCGATCGTTCCTGCCGGCGTCTCTTGCTCGAACCCGGCCCTCGGGAGCCGTCTTCGGGCCCCCGAAAGGATCGGGCACGAAGGACTGCCCCGGGGGGGGAACGTTGGGTGTTGGGGACTAGCTCTGGAGGGGGGGGGGACATCGACCTGGAATCGGCGATACATCGCCAACAGATCGGCGGCGAGCCCCCGACGGCGAGTTTCGCACGGCCCTGAGCGGGGTGGGGCTATCGATACCCTGTCGGCGACGAATGGGAGATCCCAGACCTCCAACGTCTCGAGAAACTCCTGGCGGAAAATAAACAGCATCTCTGGGCCCTCCGGGGCCCCTGGAACGTCAGAGACGACTCCGGATGAAGAGCGGGCCCTGGGGAAAAAAGATCCAGACCTCTGGGAGCCCGCGCCTTGAGAAGCCCAAGACGTCGGACGTCTGGGGTTAGGAGGAGGAGGAGGAGGAGGAGGAGGAGGAGGCGGAGGAGGAGGAGGAGGCGGAGGAGGAGGAGGGAGGGAGGAGGAGGAGGAGGAGGAGGAGGAGGAGGAGGAGGAGGACGAAGAGGAGTAGGACGAGACGGACGAGCGAGGATGAGGAGGAGGAAGAGGTAGGAGGAGGAAGAAGAGGAGGAGGAGGAGAAGGAGGAGGAGGAGGAAAGGAGGAAGAAGGAGGAGAGGAGAGAGGAGGAGGAGGAGGAGGAGGAGGAGGAGGAAGAGGAGGAGGAGGAGGAGAAGGAGTGGAGGAGGAGGGGAGGAGGAGGAGGAGGAGGGAGGAGGAGGAGGAGGAGGAGGAGGAGGAGGAGGAAGGGGAGGAGAGAGGAGGAGAAGGAGGAGGAGAAGAAGGGAGGAGGAGGGAGGAGGAGGAGGAACCAGCAGGAGGAGGAGGAGGAGGAGGAGGAGGAGGAGGAGGAGGAGGAGGGAGGCGGGGAGAGATGGATGAGGAAGAGGACCCTTGCGGGCCGGTGCATCCCCCCCTGGGCTGATCCCCCCTGCCGTTGGCCCTGGTCCCCGGCCCCTGGCCCGCGGCAACCGCACGCGGGGCCCGCGCTCGAGCGAACGAGCGCACGAACCTTCTCCTCCCCCCCCCTCCTCCTCCTCCTCCTCCTCCTCCCTCCTTCCTCCTTCCTCCTCTCTCCTCTCCTCCTCCTCCGCCTCCCTTCTTCTCTCCTCCTCCTTCCTCATCCTCATCCTCTTCCTCCTCCTCCATCCTCTCTCCTTTTACTTTGCTTCTCCTTCCACCTCCTCCACCTCCTCCTCCTCCTCCTTCTCCTCCTCCTCCTCATCTTCTCTCTCCTCCTCTTCCTCTCCTCTGTTCCTCCTCTCCTCCTCCTCCTCTCCTCCTCCTCCTCCTCCTCCTCCTCCGCCTCCTCCTCCTCCTCCAAGGCATCTGGGCACAACCCTAATGGGCTTCGCAGAGGCGCCACCAGACAACGTACGGTGCACCATCTTCCGGCCGGCTCTCAGAGCGACAAGATCTGCAAACTATTGCACACTGTGCTTGGGCCGCCATGTGACACTGAGTTGATGAGAAATCAGACAGCCCCTAACCTTTTGGGAGGGGACCGAAGTTAGGAGGGCCGAAAACAGTAGGGATTGGATGCTTGTTCTGAAGATGCTTCGAGCCCAACCGCCCAGAAATATGACTCCTCACGCGACGACGAGGACCTAAGTGAGACCACGTCATCATCGTGTTGTTAGGGTGAGGGGTTCTTCTGTTCTCCATGGTAAGTGGTGGACAAGCATCGTATGATCGTGTGGACTTGTTCCGGGCCGCGACCCAGGGGAGGCGCCCCCTCGTCGCCGCTCCTGGGCGCGGCTCGACAAATCGGTGCGCTGCGACCCCGGAAGGTGTGCTGGGACCGATATGTTTGTTTGTCTGCTTTATTGTATTGCTTATGGTTGTTTAATGATCATTGTTTTATGTGTTTATGTGTGTGCTTTACGCTGCTGTTTTTTTAATGTTGGGACCGATGTTGAGCGAAGTTGCCCTCTCTCTCCCCCTCTTGACAAAGTCTCTCTGGGCTTATCCAGCTCAGACCCCGTCTGCCGCCTCCGACCTCCTCCGGCGAGGTTGTCGACAGATGCCACGGAACGATTGGGTCTAGGGCTCCGTTCGTGATCTTTCGCGGTGTTGCCCTTTTTGTTCGTAGGGGGGGATGAGCTCAAGTTGTCTGACATTTCCGTCGGTCATCGGCAGCCTCGGGGTGCCTTCTAGCGGCTGCGCCTCGCCGAGAGCGTTTCGGGCGAGCCCCGATTGTCCCGAACGGCCGGTGGCAAGGCCCTTCCGATCCGCGTCGGTCCGCAGCATGGTCCCGAACCCGAGCCATGCGCAGGAGGCATCTGTACACCGCCAACACCTACCTCCTCTCGCGGTGGTGAAGAATCACGACGGGAGGTTTGGGGCAATTCTCAGCTTCCAGAAGGCCTCGCCAGGCTCTGGGACCGTCCAATAAAACACTCCGCATGAAAATATGGTGCTGGAAGAAGCCGTCCCCGACCTCCGCCGGGCTGTGCCGGGCCAAGGCCACACTGGGCAATGGCATGGTGTATCACGGCCTCCAAGAGCAGAGACCGGGAGGTCCATGCTCCTCCTCCTCCTCCTCCTCCTCCTCCTCCTCCTCCTCCTCCTCCTCCTCCTCATCCTTCCCCTCCTCCCCCTCCTCCCCCTCCTACCATCCTGGGTGGCCAGGATGGCCCTGGCCGGGCACGGTGGTGGTGTACAGATGCGCCGTCCGCGGAGGACCGGGCGGGCCCAATCCATCTCAGAGCAGGGGGGCCCCCTGCTGGTTGAGAGCCCGACCGCCCCCCCGATTGCGATTGGTCGGCGGGCCATCGCCATGACAAGCCCGTTTGATCGACGGACTCGGTCTTCGGTCTTTAGCCGAGGTCCACAAAGGAGCCACCAGGCTCCACTGAAGCGCTACAGACGAAGGCCGTGGAAACATGCACAGCTGAATGTACACCCCGAAAGGCTAGAGGTCATAGCTCATCCGATGACCCTGGCACGGGGCCGGCGAGGTATTCGAACAGCTCCTTGACTTGTGCATTAGTTTTCAAAGCTGTAAGAAAATGCGGCATGTTGCTCTCCTTCCGAACTATGCTCTCCAACTCCGTCAGCATCAAGTGGAGGGACCCATCTTTTTCGAACGTCTGCGTACCCGTACGGCACACCCTCAGCACTGCAGAGCGGATCTTCTTCATGTGAACTTCGTCCAGCTCGACATATCCGAACGCCCCTGACACCGACTTGATGCTCGCAATAAGCACCCCGTTGCTGTCGTGGTAGGAGGACCGACCAAGGTAATTGAGAACGAAGTCCTTCGCGAGACCCGTGAGGCCCTTGCTCACGCCCAGGATGCTCAACCAGTCGTCGTTCCACTTGGCCACCTTAGCTGCCTCCTCGGCGTCCCCGAGGGACCTGAGGCTGTCCTCTACGCTCTGGACGAAGAAGAAAAAACGGCACAAGCAAAAACTATTGGAGCTCCGCGCGGCTTTCTCGGATTGGCGCTGGCCCTCCCTCCCCGGCGCGCGGACCGCGCCAGGGGAGGCGCCGCCAGGGGGGGGAGGGGGGGCCAGCGCCGATCCAAGAAATCCGCGCGGAGCTGCTCTGAGAGCCGACGCTTCGCTAAAACTTGCCACGGCGCGAAGAATTCACGGCCAGGCCCCGTCTTGCTGCAGCATTGTTTCGAGCTGGATCGATCTCTGAGGGCCACGAGGCCCGAGGCAGGGCAAGATCGCCCGTTGTCGCAAGGATGCCCCGCCAGCGTCTCAGGGTTCGAAAGCGCACGTTTGCTTTCCGAACCCTCCTGTGCTGGGTTCTCGTTTTGAATGGAGAGCACTGCGGTCTCCATCCTCGCCTCCTTCCTCCCCCTCATCAGCGGTGGCGGTCGGCTGGCGAGGCCTCGCAGCTCCCTGGGAGGCTGCCAACTGCGCAACTGTCGTCACTTGAATGGGCTCTCACTGGGAGGCTGCCAACTATGCCACTGTCGCCACTTCCGTGGGCTCCAGGGAGGTCCAGCGGAAGCGGTCGGCAAGCGAGACCTCGCTGCTCTGTGGGAGGCTGCCAGCTGCGCGACTGTCGCCACTTGTCGTGGGTTCCTGGTACAGTCGACCCGTAACAGAAGGACGCACGATAAGGATGCAAGGGCCTTGGAAGTCCGTGTCGACACTTCGCGGGCGGGGCGCGGCCGGCAGAAGCGGCCAAGGATGGGTCGAGGAGGTAAGGATGCAAGGGTACCCTTGGGAAGGTTGCCCATCCTTACTATGCGGGTTGACTGTAAGTCCAGCGGAGTATATTGTCCTCGCAGCGTGCTCTTGTGTATGGAACGTTCATATAAACAGACGACTTGTGGTGAGAAGGGGGTGGGTAGGTCTCGGGTATGTTTTCCCCGCGCAATCCTGCAGTGGCCCTGGCCTCGGGACTCAGGCGGAGAGAGGTACAAGAAGAAGACGAGGAGGAGGACGAGGATGGGATGGGCGGGCAGCGTAATAATTGCCAAGATCGGCAATCCCGCAGAACGGTGGTCCGAAAGTTCGAGTAGGGGATCGATCGTCTACATCATTGATGTACCCCACAATTCATTGGTTTGCCGAATCCATAAGGCGTGGAATGTTCCTAGAGTTACGAAGATCTACGTATGACTCGACGAGAAGATCAAATTTGGGATGCACCAATTCTGCAGACGATCCCCTACTCGAAAACCGTGTCTACGTTGTGCCGCTGTTCCTTCTCCGCTCTGGAACACCGAGACGCCAGCGGACCGGAACATCTGCAGCCTGCCGAGGACCTTTCGGTGGTAACTCATGGCGGGCGTGGTCTTACAAGGCCGGGATGACCTACACTTTTTGTGGCTTTCTTGAAGAGAAGAACAAGAGAGAGAGAGAGAGAGAGAGA